TATACTAAGTTTATATATCAAATACAATATTTGTATATCTCTACTATAAAGCTTTATTTTTTTTTTAAATTTAACATTTTTGTCAGAATATTTATTAGAAATTTATTAATAATAATATTATATATATACATATATTATATAGTTACTTATCTATTAATAATAATATAACTTTATCTGATTATCTCTATAGTGATCTAGATGCAACTGTTGTACTATTATATAGATAAGATAGACTTATTAGAAAAGCCACCTCCAATCTTAAGCAGCTATTATTATATACAGTCTAATATCTATATAGTTACACTACTTATATAAAGATATTTTTAAAACTAATAAAAAAAAAAATAATTTTTATATTTCAATTTGTTTGTTATTACTTAATTACTCATAAGCTAACTTTATTTTTGTATCACAAATATGCTTACTTATACTTCAAAATTTTTCTTAATTAGTTTTTCTGTTTCTTGTAAAGCTAAATATATAGCTAGTTTTATTTAAATAAATAATAAACACTACTAAATAATAAATACTGTTTCTATAGTAATTATAAACTCTAAACCTATTAGCAAATAGTAAATTGGAACTATCTCTAAACAATAAATACTATTTATAGTTTTTTTTAGTTCTGTAGTTCTCTTTTTGGGTTTCTTGCAGTATATAGAACTCCTTACAGCAAAAGGAGAGGCTGGGCCAAAAAATTTTTTAAAAAATTCAATATCTCAAAGAATCAGATTGATTAGAATAAAATTATTATAAGAACAAATTTTTGTCTAGCCCCTCTTTTTGCTATGGGGGTCTCATATGTTATATCTTCATTTTTGGATATGATAAATAAAGGCATCATGATTTAAGTCATAATTCTTTTATTCACCACACCCACTAGAAAAAATGAAGATATAATCTATACCACAAGAGATTTCTCCTTTTAAACATGTTTTGTTGTTTTGTTAAAAAATTTTATTGTAAATTTTAATTTATGAAATCATTAGAAAAAGTTATAAAATATTAAAATCTAAATTTAAAAATTAACTATTTATTAAATTATTAATTAAACCAAAATTTTTTAAACTTTGAATAATATTTTTTATAAAAATTTCTATTTGTATATAGTGTGTTTATATTTAGTTATGTAAAATAAATACAGAAATAGAAAATGCAATTTGTAGATTAATTTTTTGTAAACAAAAGTAAAATATTAAAATTTAATTATATCTCAAAATTTTGCTTATAAAACTACCTTTTAAGACTAAGAAAAAAATTTTTACAAAATTTTAGTATAAACTATATCTTATCTCTATTTTAGCTTCCAATACAAATCCTAATATTGGTTAGGATTAATTTAAAGTATTTTATTTATACAAGGGTGTATATACGCAAGTAATATAGAAACCAACTAATATCTTAAAATTTTGCTTATTAAATCACATTTTAACTTCTAACAAAAAAATTCTAGTATAAATTATACCTCACTTCAATTCCAAATCTACTCTTACTCTAATTATAAGCAATGTTTAATTTTTCATTTATAAAAAATTATTTGGTTAAATTTGCAGCTTAATAAATTATGCCTGTGTATATAAACTAAATTTATAAATTTCCTTAATTTAATTTGGTTTATTTTAATAAAAATCATTTTGATTTACATACACAAACACTGTATAAATAGTCATTTTCTTTTTTTATTTAGATTTTATTATTAGATAAAAAGTCTATATTAAATATGATTAAATGCAAAAATATCATTCCTGATGAATCATTGATACTGTTCCTGATGGGATGGAAAAAAATTAATTATATACTATTCCTGATAGGACTCTTAAAGAATCCTCAAAGTTAAATCTCATGTAGATTCTTAGTTACAATACAATATACCTGTGGCTGAAATATTTGGCCAATTTAGCCACTTGGCAAATGTTCAAAGCAAATTTACCAATAATTTGTAAATGTGATTGAAGTTAGGCTTCATATATGTTAAGCCAGATCTGCAGAACCTTATACAAGCCCTTTTGTATTTCGGCAAAACCTTTTAGTATTATAGCAGACTTTGGAAGTTTCGGCTGTATATTAAGTATGGTTTTCTAAAAATTCTTGAGTCTGCCGAAATAACAAAAGGTCTTGCTGAAATGTCGAAGTGGCTTGCATAAGATTCTGCGGATCCGGTTTAACATATATGAAGTCTAATTTTTATCACATTTACAGATTATTGGCAGCTTTGCTTTGAACATTTGCTAAGTGGCCGAAATAGTCAAGACATTTCGGCCACATGTATACAATGCAAATGCTAAGTCATGACCTGCGATTAATTCACAACATTGATTTCAACTTGTCTAAATATTGGTCTTAAAATAATACAGTACCGTATCTATTCGAAAAACTTCCATAGGCGTTAGGGCACTGGTATTTATTACGTCATTTTTTAGGGGTGGGGTTGAGCATGTACTATATCAATATCTTACGTTACACAAAGAAAATTAGTTGGACCAAATTCTTTTTAAATTGGCCAATCATATTGAAGCTTATGTGGGGACCTCATATTAAATGGAAATCACGAAATAAATGTCAGCGCCCTTATTCGAAGTACATAATTTGAAAAGAGCTAATAGTTATTTAGCTAAAGAATTATTAACATTAAAATTATGGTTGTATTCGGCTAAATTAAATATTAGCTCTCTTTAAATTACGTGCCTTAAATAAACGTTATTTCGCACGAATTCGATAAGAATAATTGAGTTGAAAAACTTTATTAAAATGATTGAATACTAATTTCTGGGGAGCTTTTTTTTTTGAATTTTATGTCATGCGTTGATTTTATAAGTTGATTAGACATTAATAGTGGACTGCCAAATTTTATGCAATAGCCTTATTTTTCGACAGTAGTTAAGTTTGTAGAACCCTATCAGGAACGGTACGTAAATCGATTTTTTTTCATCCCATCAATAACAGTACCGACGATCCATCAGTAATGGTATTTTTGCTGATTAATTAGTTGTTAAATAAATTTTATTTAAAGTTTTAATTGTTTTTTATCAATTATTTTCATCAAATTTTATATTATTTATTTAAATAATAAAGCCAATTAGTGCTAATCTGGCCAAATAATTAGAATATAAAATAAATTAGTCATTTAAGATATTTATTAGTCTAAAACACAAATTATATATATTAACTAAAATTTAATTTTTTAATTTTATAATATTTTTATCGTGATTAAATTACTAAATTAAGCAACTAATAAATCCGCAACAAGTAATGGCTTTAATTACTCAAACAAATAGCTAGCTAAAGATCAACGCTATCAATTATATTTATTAAAAATATTCCAAATTAAAAATACAGTTGTCCTCCTTTACAGTTACCTCCTATATAATCACACTCTCTTTATAAGCACCATTTTTTGAAAATTTATTGGCAATATACAGTATTTATTAAAAAAACTCTATATAGTCACATTACTAATAAAGTTTTATAATCATGTAAAACAAACAGCGTGATTATAGAGGATGACGACTGTATAAAAATACCTTTAGAATTAATAAAAATATTTTAAATGTTGTATAAAGAATATTTGAAGAAATAATATAATTTTATTTAATTGCGTTAATAAAAAAAAACTATAATAATTATATCACAATAGAACTTTTGATTATCTTATATAAGTGATTTACATGTTTTAGATTCTATCTTACTCTACAATGTTGTTATGTTGTTATTCTGGATCTTTTACTATTTCTTCACTTTGTGATTCTAGTTCTTTTTCTTTTATGTAATCTAATGATGTATTAATAATATTTTGCTTAAGATCACCATTTATCTCTTCATGCTTTTCTACTTCTCGTTTAGTTTTATCTATAATTTTTCTGCAAATGCCCCAACATCCTTTATGAACAAAGCCCCAATATTTGATTTCATTAGTTCCTATATAATTTATTTAATATTAATTAGCAATAATATATATATAAATTTTTTTTCAAGTATCCAAAATCTAATCGACATAACAAAAATTAGTATATTATAGTTATTTTATTTTTATATACAGTCAGGCCCTTCTAAGTATACGTCCCTGGGACCACACTTTAGAAACGCCCATTTATATATATAATAATAAGAAAATGTGCATTTGTAGAGGTCAAGTAATATTTAGGCCAGTTTAAGTGTGCATTTAGAGAAGGTGTGTTATAGAAGGTCACTTAAGAGTGGTCTGACTGTAGTATGATGAGTTAGAATAAAGTCAGTTGTAGGGATGGTTTGGCATTTAGTTTATTTGGTTCTCATCATAGAATAAAATAACCTTACTATACTCATTTAAGATCTACATACATTATATATTGCTTTTGCTTAGTTCATATATACTGTACGTATGTATAAAATTTTCTGGTATGCATGTATCGCACATTAATTTTGGATTTTGATTTTCATTATCAAAACATATGCATTTCGAGCACTCGAAATTACTTAAATACAGCCATATTTCTTTACAATCACTCTATAATTATCATGTATCATATGGGGTGCCGTCAATACAGATTGATATGAAAAATAATAAAACATTTATACCACAACTTTCACAGCTCATATCCCAATGAATTTTGAAGCTAATTTGATTTAATATTCAAAGAAAGAATAAGTTCTAAGCTTTCTTTAAAATATCGAATCATCAATATAGCTTCAAAATTCATCGAGATATGGGCAGTGAAAGTTGAAATTTGGATTTTTTTAAAGGTAATCTGCCAGATTTCTATTGACGGCAGCCCATATATATAAGGCTATTCAAAATTAATTTAATAGGGCTGTGACATTTATTACCTAATATTCATTTACTATAGAAGCCTACCTCCACACTCAGGTAATATTATTTTAGCCTAAAATATTACCTAATAAATGTCAGCACCCTTATAGCACTGATAATCTTCATTGGTTATATGATTTAAATTAATCATTGTGATTCGTCAAGTTCACTACGGCAAAAAATCTCACGTTATATATTTGATGTTTGACTAAAATCAACATTTGAATAGCCTAAGCACTTTTTTCTTTATATTAATAAGTCTATTAAAAAGTTCTTCATGAAATCTTATAACATTTTTGTGGTCTTCAAGAGTAAAGATTATAGAGAAAGATGACTGTATCTTTAAATACTCAGGAAAATAAATATTATAAATAGCTTAAAAACAATCTTACCGAATAAAATTACATAAAAGGCTGCTAAACCTCCGTAATGAGCAAAAATAATTCCAACAATGCTTAAAATCTAATTATTAATTACGATTATCAGTATTTTTTAAACGGTTGATTTTTTCAAAAAAAAACCATCCTCAAAGATTGATACTTACATTATTGCTCCTATTAATTAAATTATTTGTATGTTAGATTAAATAAAACGGTATTGAATAGATTACTCAATACGCTTTACCTTTGTTCTTTCTGTTCTTTTATAATAAAACTTCCTGGGGAAATTTGCAACTTAGTACCATTTTGGCTAGTAGGATTTTGATCAATGTACATTTCTATTATTATTATCAGTAACAACGTATTTAAAAATGTTACGCTATAAAGTAAAACATGCATAAATCCGTGTCATTAGAGTAAAATATCATACATACGAATTTTTGATTCAACAAACATTATTTTAAATAAAGGTGGCCGGATGCCAATGTAACTTAACACATTATTAGCTATTGATCTTCTGATATTTCTAGAAAATGTTAGCTCATATGCCTGAATAATAATAATAATAATAATATTTTAACTTGAATGAGTTGCAAATATTATGATTTTAAATTAATATATTAAGCATACGTACGCGACTTAGTGATAAGAAGTATCTATTCTCGAAGAAAAGCGATTGGCTAAATGTGTCACTTTCAACAAAGTTTTTATCATATTCACTGCTATTCTTATCATCATAACTAACAGTATATCCATCATATTCTATTTATAAATATTGTTAAGAAAAAAAAGAAAAAGAAATCTAAGCAATCCAATATCTATTATTTACAGTAGTTTACCTGGATCATATAGGACTACCATAATGGTAAAACTTGGGTTGGATAGTGCAGTCATAAGTAGGTTTATATAGACATTACTATGTTCAGAGAAACTTATTTGGCTGGTTTTTATAGAATTTGTGAACTTATAACTATAAGGACGCGAAGTATAACCGTGTATTTGTATAATATGTTCATCACAACTTGTGTCTTTTTTTAATAATTTAAGTCAGACATATAAAATACTGTAAAATCAATAGTTACTAAAGTAAATATACAACTTACTTAGATGAGTTACGCAAGAAACATTAAATGGCACATCAAGCGATAAATAGACATCTACATTAATTGATTTGAGGCTTGAGTTAAAGCGAATTCTTTTAAAGCAATTTTAAATTTTGAACTTTTTTAAAAATATTTGCTTATATTAAAAAGACTATTTACTAGGCACAAGCAAGCTATCAACTGATGAATAAGAGGTACTAATGGTAGGATTTTCATCATGCAATTTCATAAATAATAATGTACTAAGAGCAAGCAATGCTAGGATTGTTATAATAATAACAAGACGTCGAAGGGTCCAAATTTCGCTTGGTTCAGGTTTATTAGGTCTTATGAATAAATCTTTCCACATCATTTTTTCACTAACTTTAATTCTGATAACTGAACAGAAATTAATATATTTCTTATAGCCTTCTCGTAATGAGCCTAAAAATAAACTTTTTAAAATAATGGAATAATTCTATTTATCGTTAACATCCAGCTGTAATATTAATTTAATAATACCTGTCACGACATTTAATATCAATATATATGGAGTGAATGACGTTATTTAACGATATAAGTTTATTTTTTATTATTTTTTATTTTGTTTTATTTTTATTTTTATTTATTTATTTATATTTTATTTTATTTTATTTTATTTTTTTTGATTAACGTTATTTTATTTTATATATTTAAAAAAAAACTTTCAAACAATCAAATCTCAAAAAAATTGGATAATCGTCAATATAACCTCTATTGGTATTATTTATGCATTTGCATGCTTTGATTTGTACTTGCATCTATCGCTCGTTTCTCATTCTGAAGATAACAGACATATTTATATAAAAGATATTTGTAAGATGTCGCTCTTTTTTGTAATTCATTCCAAATATCATAAAGAGAATCGAAATTTGATGAAAAATGCGGTCTATAAATAACCTCTATTTTTTATATATCCATATGAGGAATCGAAAAATTTGGGAATTCTTATTAAAAACTCTGGAAGTGTAAGTAAATCAAACATCTTTCTGCAACTTCTTGGAAAACGGCTGTAAATGTTTACATAAGTACAATGCAAGAATCTAAAAATCTCAATCACTTTCTATTTTAAATCGCCTACTTTCTCATGATTTTACACGACATCATGATCTGCAGAGGTCATACCTTTTTGCATTGAAAATAAATTTCCTAAATTATCAATTACAATAAAGCAAAGATGTAGAATTCTCAATCTCTTTGCATAGAATAATACGCCAATAATAATATGTACATAATAGCAACTATTCTATGCGTGCTGTTAAACCTTAAATAAGCCACTACTGAATTTAGCTCATCACCAAAGTTAGTTCCATATAAAGCGATTGAGGTTTTTAGATTTCCTGCACCGTGCGTACACTATGCAAAGAGATTGAGAATTTTAGATTCTTCGCCTATTGAGGTGGATAATATAAGAAATTTACTTTCATGTGCTACCAGTTATGTATATCTTTATGTAAAGAATTTGCAATCATTACATTTCCCTGCACCGTACGGCATACAAAATCACAAAAAATGCACATTCATTCAGATGCCAAGAAATGCCGAGCTCCACTTACTGCTAGTATATAAGTAGCTGGAATATTGTATATGAGATTTAAAAGTAATTTTGAAATTATATTGTCAGATCACTTATATTAATATTTCTGTAAGTCAAAAACATTGACAAAAAAACTTCATTGCTACTCATTGCTAGAAAAAGAGGTGAGAACTAAATTCAAAAAGGAAATTGGAACATCAAGTAACATTGTTGCAGTTTCCTTTTTGAGTTCCAGTTTCGCACTTTTAGCTAGGAAAAAAAAAATCTATAATGATTTTAGCGAAGTTATAATCTGTGCTCAGGAACCCGTAAAAATTTGTCTATAAATGAATACAAATTAATACAAATTTAGTTAATTATGCAAATACATGCAAATGGGGTCCTTTCCTTGAAAATGACCTTACGGGACTATGTAGGTTTTATGAATAAAAATTAAAATTTCTGGTCATCTAATAATCTAATTCAAATATAATATATTTTTATTTTGTAGAACTCACTAAGCTTTATAAAATAAAAAAAAGTTTTTTTTTGAATTGGATTACTGGATAGCTATAAATCTTAATTTTTATTCATAAAATCTACAAAGTCCCGTAAGGTCATTTTCAAGGCAAAGACCCCAAATTTTTAAAAGTAAATTTCACGTGATATTTTGTAATATAGATTTGATTGGCTAATACGTAATACCGATGGTGGGCAAAATAGGGACGTCGTGAGTTCATGCAATTGCAGATCTCGGTTTATAAACCAGACCAAGATCGATCATTTTAATATTCCTAGGGCAGAATCAAGATTTCGAATATTTTCGAAATATTTTCAGAGTAAAAAATAAATAAACATAAAGACGAGCAAGATCGGAACAAAATTTTAAGTTAAATTCCAAAGTTTTCTGAAAAAGATTTAAAAAATCGCAAATTAATAAAGATGATTATTAATACAGTACAAATTTTTGCAATAACGCAAATAAAGATTTTGGACAATGCAAAAAAATTTTACGTGCCCCTATCAACATAGCTGGATATTGATTTTTTTAAAAAAGCAAAAACTTGGAATTATTAATTAATCATGCGGGTGATCGAAATGTATAATTATGGATTTTAGTAAATTCGAATATATTGCATTTAATTTATAAATGACCAACTCTGTATTAGATTACATGATGAAGAATGTCGCAATGCTTACAAATTTAACGATCATGCATAAGATCAGAATGTCAAAATTTGCGATCATAAATATATTCGTACAAATTTTAGATTTAGTAATAAGACTGCAAATTAAAGTAGTTATATATAACGAGACATTTAATCTATGACATTTGGTTTATGACATTCTAAAGATAACCACGAATTTGTTCATAGGCAGACATTCGTATGATTGGTTGTTTAAATCAATTTAATTTTACATTATTTATACAGTTTAAAGTACTTTT